GGGAAAAGGAGTATTAGGAGGATCTTTTACCACAAAGACATGTAAAGAAAAACTTTGAAAAAAAGCTGCCGTACATACCGGTCTGCCATGAATGCTTTCGTAATACAGCAGGGCTTTCTGAAGAGCCACTTTCTCAGCCGCTATCTGATCTCTTGTCATGTCCTATAAAACGCAGAACATGGAGAGAGAAAGAGGAAAAAAATCAGATTCCTAAACTCAAAAAGTACTGATCTGTGGTCTTACCAAAATCATGTTATTTCGTCAGTAATGTTTTGAAGGCTCATCACTTCTTTCCAGTCCCCTTCTCTCAGTTACATGGCTGCAGAGACTGTTACCATGAGTGGCCCGCTAATGCACAGCAGAGGCAGATTAAAACCAAATAACCTTTGGACAGGACAGAAAAGTGCTGTATGTACATAAGGGGATTTATCAATTTTCAGCGTGTTTTGAAAAAACAGTGCCATGTAATTTTTCGTTGTGGTGGTTGTTTTTCACTTGAGGCGGCCTGCAACAAAATGCATGTTCTTTCTTGTCCTCCAAATCTGAGACAGACTCCAGTACCTCTTGCAAAGCCTTCTATCTTTACTTTGACTGCCATAAACACGCTTAACTGAGAACTGAAGTGCACTCAGACCATCTCCTGACAATTCTACTATGGAGTGATAAGCTCTGGCAGGCAGCCTGGGGAGACCAAGCCAAAGAAAGGGCAGACTGGTGTAGGAGACTTCCGTAACTAAGTTTGCCAGAGCTCCTCCACTGAACTTGCCCGACACTCAACATTGCCTCCCCATCACTGCACCAAATATTATCACAGGCCGTCTTTAAAAGGCCAAGCTGCGGATTCTTGCTACTGCTGCAAAACTGCCAAACACACTGTCTGTATATCTTCTTGTTCTGCAAAGCCAGTAAACAAAGATAATTCCGTCTGCCCCTCTCTTACAAAGCACTGCACAATTTACATGTCAGCAGACTCAAGGACTTCATTTACAAGACTACCAATAACTCAGGAACTAGCAACATCAGACACAAAGACCTCTTTGCTGATAACCCTCAGAGTTTACAGAAGCTAACAGGGCTCAGTATGAAACTGAGAAGAGCAGCAATAAAATGCCCCAAGGAAAGAGCACTCAGTTTTGGAGTGAACCAAAAGAAAATAGATGGTCTAATCTCCTGAATGACTGGAAGACTCAGAATTTGCCAAAGCCTTTGGACATAACAGAAATACCCAAACTTAAACACAAAGCAGGAAATATTGCAGGCTTCCAGAAACGTTACTTGGAATCTGTGGCAGTCAAAGAAAGCAAGCACAACGACACTCAGTAGAAACAGAGCTCTGGAAAAAAAAAAAAAACCCACATATATTAAAGACAGAGGGAAAGAAACTAAGGTAAGTCAGCCAGGAATAAAGGTTATAGATTTTGTGACAAAATCTAAAAGACTACAAAGCTTTCACAAGTGACGGGGCAGCCATGCGTTCCACACTTGCACTTAAGTTAAAATCTGATCTGCGGGCATTGTACCTTAATATCCTCAGGTCGGTTTGTCTCTGCTCGTTTTTCTTGAAGCTTCTTCTGGATAGACTCAAGAGTCACTTCCACGGCAGGCTTGGCAGATTTATCTGACAGGTCTTGCTTCTTGTCATCTTCCTTTTCGAGTTGAGAACCAAAGCTCTTGGGGAGCGTGTTGCTCCGCTGACGCACCACAGGGGCAAGGTCTTCCTCAGATATCTTCAGTTTTGACTCTAAAGGGGAGAGTTTGGCGGAAGAGGAATTATTTTTCTCTGTTAAAATGTGTTTTCAGTGACAAGGTCACTGCCCAACATCACATTTAAGTGAGGCCAACTCCAGCCCAGAAGGTACACCAATGGTGGCTGCTCACCTTTAAGTTGTTTTCGGAATTTGGCTAAGTCATTTGTCCATTTGAGCACTTCAGGGTTGGCTGCTTTGTCACTGTGGGAAGGCTGCGAGGAAAGAACAGTCATGATGAATCTGTGTTAAACCAACAGCAGAGACTCACTGAAACGCGCGTCTGTCACAAAGACGTACAGTAGAACTTGGACCCAGGACAGAGGCAAGGCATTGCCTTCTGAGCATTACTAGCTCACTTCAGACCTCGCTTTGATTGCCCTGCCTGTCACAACACTGTCTCTTAGGGCCACTTCGACGTTCATTTGTTTTTGGAAAAGACTAAACTTCTGAAGACAAAATTAAAATATTCTGTTGTAGGAGGGACTCAGAGGGCCAGATTCACATTAGAGTCCTTGGTCTGCTGTTTCCCACCAGGAAGGCACCCCTGAAATAGGGGAAACCTTCCACAAACAGTTTGAGGAGAGCTAAAATGTATGTATCCATACTGAAGGCTGTCTACCAGCCAAAGACACTGAAATAACCCATAATCTAGGCTACACAGAGCTCTGCATGTCTCACTCAGCCTTTCTCAATTGTAGGCAAGATTAGTACTATCCTTTGTGTTTTAGATTACCAGCAAACATGCACAGATGTGAAGCTTTACTTCCTTAAAAAGCTTTCTGTGCCTCAGAAGGGCATGTCAGGAATAATTAAGAGTACGGTACATTGCTGCTGCTCAGCAGCACTTGACTATGGTTCCTCGCACAGAAGCAAAGGAGCCTGCTCTCCTCTCCTCCTTTGCAAGGTACTGGTGTCCTGGGATTACTGTCAGGGATGCTCATGCAAATGAGACCGGCAGTTGTGCTTCCCAGCAGCCAAACTTTAAATAAACAAATAAATGAGAGGTTTAACATAGCTGTTCCCACACAGTGAGTTATTGGCTCTTGGAACACTATCTGAAACGGTGAACAAAATTTTAGGAGTTCGTTAGGCTATTTCTTGTGCTGCACTGACAGCACACAATGCTTGGGAAGGGAATTTGCTTGGTACGGATGTAAGCTTTTCATTTATTGGACAGCAACCTTTTCATTTATTTATTTTTTAACTTTCCAGCTCTGGATATATGTTTGACAGAGTCTCCTGATGTCCCTTCCCTTTGTTGCTAGTGCACACTTCTCCACACCAATGCTTAACTCCTAGAGACTCACTCTGTATTTCCTCTCCTCTTCAAATTTGTCCTCAAACTTCCTGATCTTTTTCTTCAGTCCCTGAATCCGCCGGGTCAACTGTGCAGGGGTCAGGTCCTCTCTGTCATCTTCATAAGATCCCAAGGAAGAACTCCGCCTCCTACCAAGAGCAGAGATTGCAGTAAGAGCTTATTCAAACAGCTGAGGTACCTCTTCATGCACAGAAGGACAGCTACACTTTGGGTAAATAGAGGCATATCCCATCCAAGTGAGAAAGCTATGTTGCTATTCTGTAATGACAGATAGCACAACAGGATACTAAAACAGCCTCTTTTGGTGACACAAAGTCCCTAGGTATTAATTCACAAACTCAGAAACCATCAGAGTTACCAAGAACTTTTATAAAAACTGTAAGTTCCCTGTTGGTAGGGACAGGATCCCCAAAAAACTCACCTCATGAATGAATGGGAATTGGGAGGGGAAGGAGGCACTTCTGTGTCATCCAGGTACTGTTGGCTCTGTCCATAGGCATAGAAGCGAGGGGAAAGCATAGGATCACTGTCCTCATCCAGAAGCTGGCGAATTAAGCGGCCGGCCTGCGGGGAAAGGCGGGCCTCATCTGAATCTAAGCCGTCCTCTGCAAACAGGAAGACAAAAGCTGGTTTTATCTTTTTTGTTTCACATGTACTACGTACTCAAGGCAACTTTTATATAGACATAACCTGACCTTGATTCCTTGTTGTTAGGCAATCTCTGATTCATTATTCACACCTGCCCAGGGTGCAAAGCAGTACAAAACACTGCCACAGCGGGTGCTTCGCACAAGCATAAATAACCACGTAGGTGCAACAGAGAACTGTGCCCAAAATCCGGCCAGTAATTACCATGGACTGATACCAAGCAACATTATCACCAGCCAGCACCTTTGTGGAAAAGGTTATGCTGGATAAAACAGAATTATTGACATATGGCAGCATAAAGGAGGCAACTCTGGGGCCCTAGGAGGAATTTGTTCAATTTTCAGGATGAGCAAATGCTGTAAATCAGTAACAAAGTAATTGTACTCCTGCAGTCCTCAGACTCCTGCTCTCCTCAGACTCCTGCGCTCTAACACAACCCAGCTGCCAGCTGTACAAATTCAAAGACTGGTCGTAAGCATGTATTTTTCTGGTCTGTAGGGAACGGGGGTCTCACATTACTACCTGTTCCACAGAGTGCCTAGCCTGAAAAATGACAACAGTGATGTTACTGTATTACCGTGTTACCATGTTACCAGTGATGGTAATATGGTCCGAGTTTTCCCCTTTTCTCTCTCACAAGCAAACCCTGACCACACTAGAAGCTGTACAGCTGCTTAGTAGCATGGCAGAGAAGTGAAGAAATCATCAATCCCCTGGGTGATCCAACTAGCTGGAAGTAAAAACAACCCTGTATATGGAGATGGTGGGGTGGGAGAGAACAGGAAACCCAATTTAGCATTGCTGATTAGCATATAGGAGCCCACAGAAAGCAATTGCCTCAGTCTTGTGATCACTCCCTCCAGATGCCATAAGGGGTCTAATGTTTTGTGTTCAGATAGTTTACTAAGCTGATCTGCATGCTCCTACTTAGCACCATAGGATTAGACAGTTTAAGAGCCAGGATTTCAACTTATAAATCTAATAAATAGTTCTAGAGTCAAATAACTAATCAAAAACACTACAGAAAGCTCACAGATAAGTCACAGAGCTATAGACTCATTATTTCCTGTGCCTAGCGGGATTGATCTTATTCCACCAAGAGCCTGGGCTTCATAAGTTATCAACATTTGAACAAAGAGCAGTATTTCTTTTGGCTGAACAAAGTTAACATTTCCACAGCGATCCCTTACAGAATCGCCAGGCTGTTCAGTATTCTCCTACCTCCAACTCGGGCAGTACAGCATCATCCACAATTCAGTAATGACAGGCTTGGAGACGTTTTGCATATATCCTTGCACCCAATGTTACTTCCCTCCTCTTCCCTTCTTCCTCCTTCCTCAGCACACAAATATAAATTGCATGCCTCTGCTTAGAGGCTGATGATGCAAACTGTGGAGTTATCCCGAAAGGGATGGCTGGAGGTTCTGCGTAAGAGCCTCTCTCAGGTGTTGTGATAAGGGAAACACATAGGCTGCACATACAAGTCTGGCTCGCAGAGGTTACTTTGACGAAGTATGCAAACCCCAGACAAATGTTGGCTATATCACCATGGATTGGGAATCTTACGCGGCATACGCTTTGCTGTTAATTTCTGGAATATGAGTTTTTTCTAAGCTCCCTTCACCTTGACAGTTCTTAATACCTGAAATATTTTGCTCAAGGAATCCAGTAATAAGAAAGGTACAATGAAGGGCAAACCCTTGAGCCAAAACGTAACACTTCAGTGCAACACCCTTCCCTGAATCTTAGATTGACAATAATTTCAAGAAGGTCTTTACAGGATTGCTTACATTTGTTTACAGCAAAATAAAAGGCTGATAATGCAAAAGGAACAAATTTGATTCCTCACCCCTGCTGGTCAAATGAAAGTGATGCATGTGATTCCTCCAGATATCTCTCATTTCCAGTTTGTGGAAACTCTTACCTCCATGCAGAAATTGACCTTGGAAATTGTTAAGATTACATCCCCACGGAATTCAGATGGAATAAAGTTAGAAGAAATCAGTAGCATATTTAGCAAATTAAGCTTACATCACACCTGCTAACAAAGCCATTACTAACCATGCATGATGCATATGACTGTCCCGAGGGGGATTTACGTACAAGATTGCATGCAACGTTCAGAGCATTGCAAGGCTCAAAAGGACTCCGATCAAATCCTAGCTTAGTGCAAGTTTTGCAGAGACTGAGGTATGTGTAGCTTCCACTTTGTTGCTTTCAAAATACTGCCAAGAAAAGAGAAACTCATGTTCCAAAGGAGGGGTCAAAAGGGGAAGGAAAAATGTCCTAAAAGGAAAAATCAAATTCGAAACTCAGATAGAAGAAACGGCTGCTACAGAAAATCAGCTGTTTTTAACCCTCATTCCTGGAAGGCCTAACTCTATGAGTAAATCACTTTCCTTGACAGTTATAAGTATTTAGAAGAAAAATCTCATCTGGGCACAAAATTGTTCCTCTCCTTCCTCCCAAAAGTAACAGAACAAGTAATAAAGGAACATGTTCAGATCAGAGTTATGGATCATATCTACCTCAGGTGATAAACTGGATCAGAGCTATCGTCTCAAACTGCCTTGTTTCTCATACTGGCTATGCGCCACATGCTTCAGCTGGAAGCACTGGAATTGCTGGACTGCGCATGGAGTGATTAAAGGTAAATTTCTTCCTACTTTGTCAGTGCATGATCAATCCAATCCTGTCTAATACAATTTGTAATACCTTTCGTTATCTATTTACCTTAGAGATACCCAAGTGTTAAGCCCTTTTTGAAGCCCGCTAGATTCCTGGACTTTATGGTTCAGGTTTGAAATATCTGCTATCACTTTTAGTACTGTCACCCTTTCTGCTAATTGAAGAACATGAAACTCGGTGAAGAACATAAATGCTTTATCTTTTCTATGCCATTGGCTTGACAGAGAGGAGTTACCCTTACTCATCTTCTGTCTTGAACAGAACTCCCTTGCTCAGAGAAAACTTTCAGTTTCCCTAACCATATCTACATCCTTTCTATTCACTACGTATTTTTTTCATTTTTTCCACAATGAAAACTTTGCCTGAAAAAAATTATTTGGGAATAATTAACTGCCATGGCTGTACCAGTGTAGAGAAAGGATGAAAGAATCTTCTATTTTTTTGTCAGACTCTCAATGCAACGCTTTCAAGTACGTGTTTCCTAAGTTGGCACAGAAGTAAAATATGCTAGTATTGAGCTTGCAGTCTTTCAGAAGTGCTGCCTTACCTTCCAAAATCCCACAGGTAGCTAATCTGCCACCAAAGCTGCCAGCCACTGGCAGGTGTTCTGCAACACTCTGAAGGCATACATACCTCTGTTACAACACAACCTCTCTGCCAAACAGCCGTATGGACGACTTGAGATGTCAAGGAACCAATTTTAAGTAAGAACACAGAAAGATGAATCATAGCAAATTCTACAGTGGTTATTGCTGGTCAGCTCCAAGCCATCTTGCTCTGTTTTATAACTGACTTTTTTTTTTTTTTTTTTTTTAACTGTTATGCTTTATTCGTTACACAGTTGCTGGGGGTGGCTGCAGAAAAGAACTTCACACAAGCTGGGATGCCTGTACACACCTCCCCGCAGAGGTGTGGCTGGCAAGGTACCATCGGGCTTCCTGGTCTCCTCTCTGCAGCCACCGTAACTGATCTGCTTTTAAGCACACCAATCTGACAAACAAAGGAGGCCAAAGTCTTAGCTGCTGCAAACTGATGTAGGACTAGAGGGATTAACAAGTCTAAACTAATTACAACACCTGATGTCCTAGTATTAAATCCCATTTGAAAGACCTCAGAAAAAGAAACACCTCTCATAATGAAGGGAATAAAAGAATTTAAGATCTCCAAACACTCACTAACTCACTAATGCCCTATCTTACACAAATCTTACACAGAATTGTTTGAAAATGTCCTTAAACAGTACCCTCAGTATTCTTCCTAAGCATATCAGTATAACAAAAAGGATAGTTCAAATAAAGCTCTACCACTCTTTTTCAGTGAGTTGGATGAAACGTCATTCATTTAACTAACAAGTCAAAATAATATTTTGTCAATAACGTAACATCGTAATAAAAAACTAGAAAATACATGTTTGTCAAAATATTGATGATATAAAAGGACATTGGCCAATAGAATTAATTTCTACACATAGTAAAAGAAAATGCAATGTGTTTTATCACCTTTTGATTTCTCATGTTAAAGACAGTCTGTTATACACAAATATGCAGATATATCTAAGTCTGAAGTGTCAAAAAAAATTCTAACACCAAGTTTCCCTGTTGCTGTACTCTTTGTTTCTTTGCAAGGGAAAGCATCAACTAAGTCACTCTCAAAACCATTTGTAAATGAGCTTCACCATCAAAGTCTCAGCACTGCAACACTTGAGTTGTCAACACTGAAGAGAATGTTTATTCATTTGAAACTTCTATTTTCATTCCGTTTTTTTAAAGCTTAAAAGTGTGCAAAAAAAAGTCTGATTGTTTTATAAGTGCTTGTTACTGCAAACTCTGCTTGAAATGTCATCTATAGATTTTATTTTAAAAATGAGAGTAATAAGGAAAAGTAGGCAGCAATTACATGCATCACATCAATTTACTGAACTGCCTATTCAGCTTCCAGTTACTTGCAGGGCTAGTTATTTTTACGAAGAGCTACGTACTTCTAGTACTTTTCAGAATTTCCTTGAGGGCAGGATAGCAAATTTTGGGCTTGAATTAGTAACATTTCATAAGAATTCTACACAATAGCATTGGACTATGAAAGAACACTGTGTCCTCTTAACTCATGGCATATGATTCAAAAATAACCCACAACTAGATCAAAAACCTTTGCTGTGGAAGTAGCTCTGAAAACACTGCTTTACAAGCAGTCACAAACTGCACTGACGTTGGCTTTGCAGGCAGGCCTAGCAGGCAGACAGCCCAGTTCACTCGCCATTTGCCAGGGAAAGAGGGAAGCTGCAGGGTCAAGGTGACTGCGCATGAAATGCCTCTGGCACGGCCTCCACTTTTGCGTCTATTACGGAGACAGCTCAGTTCACACCCAGCTTGAGAATAAAAACTCTTTGATTTGCATCCCCTGAATGCACACGAGTAAAATACTTCTTTCAGACCCTAGGAAATACATCCAGGTTAAGTGTTTGGTCCTTGAATTCGGCCAAGATACTACTTACACTGTGGAGCCCGAAAAGATGCATGAAGGTTTCAACAACATAGACCGGCACAGGAAAGGAGGACACCTTGACTGCTGGAGTTGGGGATGGGCGGTAAATCCCTGCCTTGCACAGCTAATCTCACTGACAGATTCTGCCTTCAGCTGTAAAAGAGATCTGACAGTTGAGGTTAGCATCTTCCCCTTTTTGGCTGCTGCCAGCTTGATTTCACATCCATTGCTAGGAAAGATTCAGTTTCTTATTGCCAAGACACAGAAACCACCATTTTGCTGCACTTCTAACTGTACCAACAAAATGGTGATTCTGGAAGGCAAGTGTTTTAGAAGACAACATCTCTCTCATCCCAGACAGCTGCTCCTTTTGCAACTGCCCACCTCTTCCTCTTGTCAAGTACATTTTAACAGAATGGAAGAAGGAAGACTCTGAAAAAAAGCGCTCCTCAGAAACAACCACATGTGTTTATAGGCCTGTTTCATATTTTGTAGTGCAACAACCCAGAATCCAAACACGAGAGCATGCCTGGGACGAGAGATTTGTATCAGAGGTGCTGCTGATTGCATATGATGGGACAGCTTTTGGCAGACAGACAAGGGGCTGTGTTCTCTCTTCATATGTTCATATGACTCCCATTAGTAATACTGGCCGTGACAGGCATGCACCAGGAAGAAAAAAAAAATCATTATTTCAAAAGGCTCAGGTGACGGCTAAAGCCACACGTCATCTCTGGGAACACAGACACACTCATCCTTGCTCAAGACCCTTTGGGGCAGTACTGATTAGCATCTCAACAAACACATAAGCAAGCCAAGGCCTCTCAGGAGCCCTTCCACAGTGCTTTCATCACCATGCTGCATGCGTGGTGATATCATCGTGCCAGGAATCCCTGCCTAACAAGGAAGGGGAGAATTATCTTCCATCCATGGTGACTAGTGGCCCAGCTGAATCAAAGGCAGCTACAGCTACTGGTTTTCTTTACTCATGCTCAATATGTCATAACTACTCCCCTCCTAGAGGGAAAGGCAAAATATACCAGGTCACATATGCTGTGGAACCAGGAACAGAGAACGTGACTCCTCAGTGTTCCTTAGATTTGTTTTTTAGAGTAATAAATTAAGGTAACACTATTTCTGCTCTCTTGTTTTGTTTATTACATGTAATACTTGCATCTTCCTGTTCTTCCCCCTGTTGAAGCCTCTCCTTCACTCCTGAATCATAACCTAACAAAAGAATCCTTTCCTGCACACAGGAGAGAGACATACTTAGTAACTGGAAAAGGGTCTGATCCTAGAGAGGCAGGATTCCTTCAATCCCACTCAATTTCAAAGGAAATTGAAGTTCATGACACTCACAAGAGTTCCCCTCAGATTTCCCAGTCATGGTATCTTCCAAAAATTAAGAGTTTGTTCATATTGATTTCACCTCCAAAGACTTCAAAGGATAAAGGGTGAAGTAATAAATGACTAATTGCACAGTGCTCATCGTCACAGAGCTTGCAACCTGAAAAGGTCAGTGTCTGCATCTCGTGAAACCTCTAACTGGCTAAGAAAGTCAGTGCAAACAGCCAATCAAACATACACTCTGGAAAAGAGAGCTAAGAAACAGTATTAAAATAATTCAAACCACAAGCAATTTAACATTGTGTTTTGAGCTGTGAACAGTTTTTTTCCACAGCATACATGCAAAAGGAAAAGTCCACAATAGCCATCAACAGACAGAATATTTAGATAGCCTTTCTCCAGCTGTGCTTTTCAGGTCTGTAGAGAGTTTCAGGGGGAGTGGAAGCAAAGGGAGAAAGAAGGAAGTTGCTTTTAGCTTGTAAAATCTCCAGTTTCACTGAAGTACAGAGCAGTCTAACTTCTTCATATCTGAGTAACCAGCCACCAAGAAATAAGTTATCCTGAAGCACACAGGGACTAACAGCACCAGAAGCATATGAAAATAACTTCAAGAATAACACCATCTCTTTTCTTTCTCTAAATGACTATTGGAATTGGTACCAGTCCAATATTTCACTTCCAGTTTCTCCAAACTTTCAGTTCCACATTCAGGCCAAAATAGCTTTCCTGTTGTTTTTGGCAAGGGAACATAAGTTCCCTAAAGATATATCCAGCCCACTCAGGTTTCCCTCTCTCTGTTTTCACTCCTACCAACAGCCATCACACAACCCTACCTTCCCAGTTGTTGTCATCGCACAGCGCTGTCAAATCCAGCTGAGGTACTTCTGACACAAAGCTGTTTTCCTGTTCATCAGCATCTTGATTTCTTTGCAACTTGGTTTCAGGAATGCTTGGATGCTCTTGAATCTTCATACTTGAAGTCTGCTGTATTCCCAGACACCCACACAGATGAGAGAGAGAGAGAAAGTAAAAAAAAAAAAGAAAAAAAGAAAAAAAAGAAGCTTCAGGAGGAGGAAGAGGCAAAAAAACCCTGCAGTCACAGCAGCAGTAAGCTCAAGCCTTCAGCTAAAAAATCCAAATAAACAGACCCTGATGTTTCCAGCTTCAAATCCAAATTCCCTGCTCAATGACCCCTACATGCTAATTGGTCACTCACACTGGTAAAAACATCCGTCCATCTGCTTTCCTTGAACTTTTCCTTGTTTAGAAAGCCACAGCAAGTTCCTGAGACTGCCTGCCCTGACAACTGCATGCAGCCGAAAAAGCCTCCAGTTATCAATTGGGATGAAAAGGGAGGGAGGAAGGCATGGAGAAGGGGAGAGAAAGCCAGGGTGCGTACAGTTCCCACAGGAGCGCAACTCTTTGGAAGAGCAACAAAAACGCTGCTGCTGTTAAAAGGCTGTAGCAATATGGTGTCTTCTAAAAAGCAGGCGCTAGAGTTCCTGAGGTAGCAGCCGTAGACAGCAAGCCGTGCAGGCGACGTACATGAATGCTCTCATGCAGGCTGTGCTGGCTCAGATCAATTAGTGCCAGCTAAGCTGTGCTGGCTGCACATTCCCCGATTTCCTGTGGTTGTTTTCTAGCTGGGCGTGGGGAGAGCGGAACTATTTATGGAGGAGCTCTGGGTATTAAAGCAGTGTTGCGCAAATCCAAATGGCAGTGGGGTTTGGCATCTCAGCTGGAAGCAGTGTGGACTCTGGGAAAAAGCCAAAAAATGCACACAAACAGCCAATGACTTGGGGGTGGGGGGGAAACCCAGCAGAATGCTGTGAAGTAAATGATCCATAATTTAGCACTACCTAGAAGCAACTGCTGTTTGTCTCACCACTATCCACTCCTGCACATACCACATGCTGCGTGCGTTTATGCAGAAATCACCGGCATTCTCACAATCCAGATACACAGTGTGTGCGCATGTGTGTCTATAATAGTGCTTTCTGACCCCACGAATACTTTTGTCACTCTGAAATGAACTAGCTGTAATGGTTCACAGAGGGCAGTAGAGAAAAGGAAGTGTAAAGCATGTACATAAACATACGATGTGATATGTATAAACCCAATAAGCGAAGAGCCCTCTGAATAGATGGCATTACATTATCACATAAAGTATTTGATTTCTGTAAGAACAGCCTCGGTAAAACTCTCTGAAATACAGTCTAGCAGGTAAACAACATGCAGATTCTTCCTTCCTCCTAGGTATTTTGATAATCTAGTTAGCAATCTGCTTATGCTGCTGTGCGAAGAAAATGGCTCCGAAAAAAATAATCAGTATATTTGGACATATTTTTTGGTGAATCTAGAAGCCTGGCCAAACTATACTAAATCAATATCCTCGGTATGCATCACTAAGGCGCATTTTGTTTTTTTTTTTTTTTTATCTCCCTTACATAAAGCTAACGATACAACTTTTTCTCTGAGCTGTGAAGAACAAGGAAGTTTCATGCAGAGGAGAAAAAAAGTCTACTCAGAATATACATCATAAAAAGGAATGGCATTATCTGGATTCAGATATCTCCATCAAAAACCTGGACGATGAACAACTTGGTATTAGTAAAGAGTGCTCTGCCCTGTATTATATAAAAGGTCGGTATTTCCTCTTCATTTCAGTAAACCAACTTTTTAAAATTTTAACAAAAGGAAACGTTACACGACAGTTTGCTAAGCACTAAGAACTCCTACAGCTTAACACTGAATCTGACTACACACCTAAGTGCGTTATCATGAGAGCTGTTGGTGCAAAAATGCTAATTCAACACTCAATATCTTTTAGGCTGCTTCTAGGTTGGGAGTACTTAAATATTCTGTAAGGTTTAGTAGAACATTTCTCCATCCCTGCTAGGATCTAAATACCCAGTTATACCCTATAAACAAAAAGACTGGTCAGCAAGCAGAAACAGGCAGTCTTATATACTTGCTAAAGAACAAACTGTACCAGTTCATAAACTGCATGTAAATTGCAGCACAGACTGAAAAAAAAAAAAAATCAGGCAATGAGTTTCAAAACTATGTCATTAAAAATAGCACCTAGGCAGTGTGAAAAGAGTAACTTACCTAGATTTTAACAATTTCAAAGGCTGCAACCTGCAAATACCATGTCTTGTCACCATCACTGGTCTTACTACAGAGTTAAATGTTTTCTGACAGGGACTGTACAGTCTCCTGACTTACCAAGACGCTTAAAACATATCTGCAGCAGATACAAATCCACAGTCCAGATGGACAAACATTTCCATTACAGATATATTATACAGATTATATCAATGTCGTTTTCTTTCTAAAGCTATTTCAGTTTTTGGAAATATTTAAAATCTGTTTAAAAACAGGCCTGCGCTGTGCCTGCAGCCAGTTACTCTCCATTTTTGCTCACTTGCTTACTGATGTAGTCTCTAATACAATGAATAAATCATTAGGCATTCTGAAGAATAATGGTGGTACAAACCCAAGAGACACCAGAAGGCAGATGTTTAACCTCATTTGCACTAGCATTACAAACCCATAGTTTCACAGATAATTCAGTCTTCTCATGACGTTTTTTCCTATTTGATCTCCCGATGCCACCAATTGCCAACCTCCAGACCAAAATCAAGTAAGAGAGAACTGCCATGCTTTAGGTACAGATGTGCTATTGTTTCTTACAAACCAAAGGAGCAGCAAGTTGACGATCTCATTAGTTGGCAGTCATAGTACATTGCTGATATTACATAAACGACCACAAAAAGTCTTAAAATTAGGCTCTTGAGTTATGCTTTTTAGAAACTGCTTTTGCAGCCATGTTTTGCGGGTATCAACAACTACAGATCAAAATAATTTGAGGGTAAGTTAGCTGCCCTCCCCATCCCTGCTCCAAGGGAGATTCAGCAGTAAGAGTAGCTCAAGCAGCTAGAAATAAATGGAAACAGAAAGACTGTTAAATTCAGATCAGGAAATTGTATTCTGTTCAATTAAATGTGGATCCAAGTCAATTCTTTTTAAAAGGCTTACCTCCCCTACACCTGACAATCCACTATAACCACAAGCAGGAAGCGTCCTTAAGCACCTCTTGATAATACAATCAGATGCAAGAACCCAGTCTTTCTGCTGCTTGACTCCTGAGTCATGCCAATCCCCTTCAATACCTGTTGCAACGTTGGCCTGAACCTTAAAAATCAAGTACTTTGCTTAATTAACAAAGAAAAACCTTCAAATAACCTTCTGAAATTAAATGTAACTCAATTTAACTTTCAACAGCTTATATTTTTTTCTGCAGAAGAGTTCAGTACCAAACGTGCCTTATGTGGCCGAAGTTATCAGATGGAAAAATTTTGCAGTTCTGTTTTTGCTTTGCCACCAGACAAGGAGGTACAAACAGTTGCTCTGGTTTCTGGACTGAATGCTTTACCTGCATGTTAATGTGCTAACAATTAATAAGTTGACCAATATTACCTCATTATCATCTTCAAAGTAAACACATACCACTGAGGCAAATGGAGCTGTTGATGCCTCTTGGAATGACTGTCTCATCAGGCTGAATGCAGACTTACACTCCATCAGCCCCACTTGGTTCTTGTTTGAGATAGCTTTCTTAAAAAAAATAAATCCTGGGTACTAGAAACCTCTTTTGTCAAATCAAAGTCGACATCTTGTAGCTTAGCTACTTCCAAGGGCAGATTACAAGGGCTGCAAAAGCACTGAAAACTCATTCCGGACACATGTTTCGAGGTATTTTTACTGCCTCACGGAGAGCTGAGTCTACATGGCCAATAGCCACGGCACAAATTCCAAATACCTTCCCTGATATTTTCAGACTGGAGAGCGGGTGAGAAGGAGAAAGGAGTAAGAAAGTCCCTTGCTCATTCTGAATGAGCTGTTTGTTACAAAAGGTATGCTTCTAAGCTGCCCTAAGCAGAAGGCTTATAAAGGACAAGGAATGCAGAACTACCCTGCAGGAATTTAACATTTTCTTGACCTCGTAATTCTTATATAATACGATCTCTAGGTTAAGGCTACATCTTTTTCTGCAGCAAAAGTTCTTATTGAAATTTCAACTCCTCCTAAGGAGGAGTTTATTTTAAGATCATAATTTAATATTCAAGTATACCCTCTGCCAGCTAATTTAAAAGCTGAATGGGAGTTTTCTGTGGCGTGGAACTGACAGCATCTTCACGTTTAAGCGGGTATGTTGGAGACAAGGTGCTAGAGAAGCTGTGCTTCAGAAAATGCAACGGCCCATGCACCTGATCTGCCAGGTATTAGTGCTGCCAAGCGCAGGGCTGTTGGGGATTAATGACCCTCTGGGAGTAAAGCAGGAGATCTGGCTAAACTCAGTCAGAGCAGTCATCCAAGCCACAGCTGAGTATTCCCCACAAGGTTACATTGCAACAACACAGCTGAGCTGAGCCCAACAATTATCAAATAATCTCTTCTACCTTTCCTGCTAGTTGAAAGTAATACCTACCAAAAATAAAGTCTTACAAAGGTAACGCATAGTGGCTTTTAAAAAAAAAAAAACCTCTGTGAAGAGGCTAGTTTAAAAATACTGTTAGCCCTCAGATAACTCCGGATGGCCAGAGAAGCCAGAGAGACTTTGTCCACAGCTGTTTTATAGTCCCCCTCTAAAAATGGTACAGCAATTGAGGGAGAGGTCATGCAGGCTCTTCCTAATATTTTAAGTGCTGTGCTGTCTAGCACTATTTCCAGCAGAATCAAATGAATTGATGACTGCAAAGTTGGTCACCTAACCCAACTCAACCTTCTCTTTGCTGATTGCTCAGGTGAAAAACCCCATAAAGAGAAAGCAGGAGGCAGGTGTAGAGTAAAAATGGGAAGTACAGGGAAGGAGCAGTCACCATAAATACCAAACGTTCCTCCTTTCCCCTCCGGTCGGCAGCCACTCCAACCACCAACCCTTAGAGAGAAGCAAAAGATGATCCAGTTTTGTAAGACAAGTGATCGTGGACAAGTATGCTCAATGATGACAGGACACGCTAGGAAATCATACATAAAAGACCAAAATTATTTTAGAAAAATCAAGAGAGACAAGTTAATCTCACTATACCGCGAGATAATCGGTCACACGCCCTGTTAGCAATGATTATAAGGGAACTCAGCGTCACTTGGACCAAATTGCTGACTTCAGTGACTCTTTCCTTTTTGGCAGGAAGGGATTGAAGGGACTGAAGCAGATGCTTTCAGACTTCTCCATGTCTGAGACACTCTTTGAATTATAAATCAAAAAGGACAGGGGAGGGAGGGAGGGAGGGACAGAAAAAGCAAACGCTAGCTCCATTTCTCTAGGAGTGACAGAATGTCATTTTGAGTACAGAACTACATGCCTAACTACCTGTCCGTAGAGAATAAACAGCCCATTTAGAGCCCACAAAACTGAAACTCAAAAAAAAAAAAAATACCAACCTGTGAGTGCCTGAAAAAAACCTCATCGTTTTCACTTTCTTTGCTACAAAAAAAGAAACATATTACAAATATAAAAACAGATTGTCTTGTAACAAAAACAAATAGGACTTTGCACACACAGGTTTTTAGGCACGGCTACTGGCTACTGTTGCACACTTGCTAGTACACTGAGCAAATGAGGGGACATTCTGGGTGGCAGAACTTCAAGCTGCTATAGTATCTATTTTGTTCCTCTCAGGACCTATTCGTGGAAAATACAAAGGAATTTAATTCCAGTGCCCTTATTCCAAACCAATTAAACTCTCCCAACGTGCATCATAACTGAGGAGAGAAATTCTCATCTCTGGTAAGCAGAGTGGAGCCGCAGAGCTCTTGCAGAGGAGGGAAGTGCAGAGAAAAGGGTTGGAGTCCCAACCCAAAGACCATGTGGGATGGGCATCTGTTGCTCTGCACTCCCCTGTGCACACTGTATTTCTGTTCAGATGCTTAGAAGCAACTTCTTTTCAAGTCTGCACCATCACCATCTTCAGTGCTGTTCCTAATAGGTGGGGAAAAGAGACTGTGGTGTATGGTGTTGGACAGAGCCCAGGCAACATACCCAGTGCCTCTATACTGCTCTACTTTGAAGTTAACATGGTGGGTAAAGCTGTTCTGTTGCATAGCTGTTACCCTCATGGTCTGTGGTGGAAGATCTCTTTGGCTGTGCCATAGCCCCATATATATTTAACCATATGTATTTTTTTTAAAAAAATCACCTTTCTTCAGATAAAATTTCCATGTCATCAGGTCCTGTTCTGTCTATAGGTCTGGATGAGCTAAAGCTTTCCATACTCTGTAATACAGCAAATGTTAAAACAGTAAGACACATAAAAGAAATTGGTTCAAGCTGCAGGCTACTGAACAGATCAAATACAGAAGTACCCAACAGGACTCCTAGAAACAAGTACTGCCTTTTACACATTCATAACAAAACAAAACTTGCCCACAACCTGCAAAAAAAACTTGCACATTGTCTTTGTCTCTTTCATAAGATGACCTTGAAATGTCTGACAGAATATCCCAGCATGATATCCCTACAGTGCCCGTTATACAGACTGACACCTTGAGCAAGACAGCAATTCTGTGATGTGTACAAGTCCTGTAAGAGCAGGTACGCAATCCAGAGCACTCCCAGCAGCACTCTTCAGGCTGATCTTGCAAATATTCCCCTCCTTGGCCAAACCACTCCCTAGTCTGTTCTCAAAAGGACAGAGGACATCAGGAGCACAAAGAGACTGCTATATGCACAGAGGCAACGTAAACTATGCTAACATGAACGCAGGACAAGAAATTTTACTGATTATGACGACTTGTTCTAAATTTTCTTGGCTACCAACTAATGCTGTTGTTCTCTAAGAGCCTGAGAAAGTATTGTGAAAACAAACCAAACTGATACATCTTTGCTTGCTACAGAATAGACTTTGGTCTTTGGTTTCAGCCTTTATAGGAATGATTTTCTTCATTATCTCAACAATGAAACATACTGTCTGCTTGAATTGCTTGGTTTCCAAGCTAGGAGGTAGTTTTTTTGTTTTATTCTAATTTTTTTTAAGGTGCTGAAGAATGGAGACACAGAACTATTCACCCTGGCATATAAACCAAATGATGTGCTGCACATCACACAGGGAACAGCACTCAATGTGGCTTTCTGTAGGTGAAACTCATGGGAAAATCCAACCCTTAATTTAAATTAGAACGCTTTTTTAAAACCTGGTGTCACTCAAAGTCACATACTCCACACTTATAAGTAGCACCTCTGGTTCACTTTCTTTCTGCTGACAGTGACTCAATCATCTAGTATCTACAGACAAGGAAAAGCAAGCAGAGGTGAACAATGCTTTCACCCCCTGGGGTAGGTGCTGAGTTCCTTCATATTGGAGCATGTTTCAAAATTGTCTTGATACTGTTACTGGAGAGCACATCACTGTAGCAATTCTTAAAAAAGTAAAACAAAGCACACCCTACACCAGATTTAGAAATCAGGAAATCGAACGTTGCCACTTTGGGCGCGCGACTAGGAGTTTTTCTACTCTGGTATTCAGTAAGTCTCTTCTAAATAGGAGGAAGGAAGTGAGAAGAGCAGAGTGGGGTTCCTGGCCTGGGCTGCAGGAGCCGAGCGCACACAATTCCCAGGGCGGCCACAGCTCTCGCTCCCCTGTTTCACCTCCAGCAGCCAGACCTCGCTGCCATGTAAGGTTACTCAGCTCAGTCACTCCAGCCAGGACATGCCTCAGCCTTGCCTAACGTGACTCTTCAAGTCCTACTTGTACCTGGCTACCTTGTCTCTGAAGTGCAGTTACACACTTTTAATGCTTAGTGGTTGGTTCTGCTCAAGAGAGTAAGTGGAGCTGACAGTTTTTCCCCTGCTGACTTATGCTTTGAGTCAGATACAATTAGACATCTAAGAGGACAATTTCCACACACTGCCCTACGTGCTCTTTCAGGCTTTGTTGATAAAGCAGGAAGACTCAAGAAAGATGAGCGAGAAGATGTAACATTAGGACTCCTGTCATAAAACTCGTTTACACGAGAAAGCACTACTAGAAAAAGCTAAGGTGTAAGTTATGTCCTTTGATACCCCGAGTTAGTAACTTGGGTTCTCCGAAGCATACCTTCTACCGCTTGAGTAAAGATGTAGCCAGGACCATCACACACGCTATATCCTGATGAAAGTCTCTGATCTGCAAGTATGAAATATGAGCACTTCTGGAAACCTAAAAAGCAAACTTTGCTCTTCATGAAGAGTAACATCATGCTCTCTGCAAGCTGTTTTATAAGGATGCTCCCGTTTGACAATCACACTGGGACACTTCCGCTAGCAAAGCAGAGAAACGCGGAGACCACGTTCACCAGGATAGTCACCTTGGTTGAAGTGCACTTTGTGCACGGTCACTTCAGTTTTTGTTCCTTTCAGCCTTTGCCCTTCAAGAGATCCAAACGTGAGGGGCAGGGCAAAGTCCAGGGGAAAGAGAAATGTTTTAGAACATTTCCTACAATAATGTTTTAAGCCTTCTTTAACTTTTTTCAGGTCTCCAATGTACCCTCTTAAAGCATACGCTTCTGACAAACTTTCCTTCCCCAAATTCACATTTCAGCTGCTTTACACTCCACAGGTAGAGTGAAAGGGCCCAGAAAGAGTGTAAGCACTTCACATTTGCCTATCTTAAAGTCCCTTTCCATTGCTACAAGCAAAGATGCAAAGTGTGAGTGTGTCTGTAGGACTGTACTCTTTCATGAAGTATCACATGTGAGTAGGTTACTGATATTGAGCACTAAATCTAAGAAGCACAGTCTACAATTCTTGGCATCTTGCCTTCCTTCTATCACAGAGAGAAGCCACATCTGCCTCTCTGTAGAATCTCTGCACAGGGTAGAGCATCACGTCATGGCAGTTCTGTAATCTGAACAAAATGAGTCACAACACAATGTCACATTAAGAGGGAACTCACCTAGAGGAGACTCTGAAACTCAGCCAAATGTAACCGAAGGAAATGCTCTGAAGCTGGGAGGGCTAGTCTTTTCACATGACATTACATGGTTACTAGTAACAGTGAAAGCGCAGTTGGTGCCAGGTACAGAGGATGCACAGCACATCTGCCACTGCAAACAGACCCTACATTGAAGCAAAGTATAGTTCCTCAGCTGCCAACACTAAAATCAGCGTCTGGCTCGGTTGAGAGGGAAGGAGGAAGCATCCCTTTTTTTCTATTGCTTGTTACAGTTGGCAAACTGCCTTCTACTGTGAGGGTCACACAAGAACTTGCTGGGCAAATTCCACAGCATTCCTGATTTTGGCAAAGCTCTGCCATTTACCTCCCCAGTAAAAGATGGCTAGAGGGATCATCTTTTAGACCAACAGACTCAAAAGTGTTTTGAATACTGCATGTGCTTTGCACCACTGTAACACATACAGTCTCCTGGGAAAAGGCATAAAACACCTTCTTCATCTCATTATCAACAAGTCACATGTGATCTATGGTTTCAGAGCTTAGCATGATTTTAAAAATAAAAGTCCAGCTAAGCATGTGATACTACACCTGAGGTTCCACTCTCCTTGCAAGAGCTCTGAAAGACTAGGAAAAATAATTATTTCCCTTCTCTCCTTACAAAATACTCTATTGAAAATAAAAGAAATAAGCAAACAGTTGTGGAAAGAGAATGGCTATGGACGGAGTAAGAGAATCACAGCAGACAAAGCTTCTCAGTTTTTTCATTACAAAGGTTACAAGTATGCAATCTAGTTTTCCCCATAACCCAAAATAGCTACCTTATACCTATCGGTATAAATGGCTACCCAAGAAGACCAGATGTTCACTGGAGCAGAATGAGTTTTTCCCACCCTGGTACTAGGTATCAAATAGTAGAGCATGCTGGCTTACCACAGGACTGTCCTGGTTGTCATTAAGCTCTGAAAGCTTGGTGCTGGATTTCTGCCGTTTTGGTTTATTCCTTTCACCAAGATACGAGGAGCTGTTCTCTGGTAATTTTTCTACCTCTTGAGCAGACAGAATACAGTCTTCCAGATTGCTGAATCCAGAGGGAATGTTCTCTTTGTTGACGACTTCCCTAAAAAGAAAAGGGACATTGCAACAAGATGTTGTTTAAAACATTCTCCCGCTACATTTATGGTAGCAATAGAGAAATGCATTATGCTGACTGGTGCAATTCCAGCAACATCTTCTACGCCCTATGAAACCAGTATCTCTGGTTCTTCCTACTGCAGCAAACACCACACACTGTGAAATGCTAAATCCCATTGAGGAGTGAAAGCCAGGTGTATACACCTCTGGGGAGAAAGCTGCCAGGATCAACATTTGAGACTTGATTTGCTTCCCACTAAAGCCAACAGGGACAATCCCACTGAGTTCAAATGGAATATGCACTAGCTCCTGGCTGTGTGGTATTTTTATAGAGAATATACAGCATTTTTTCTTTTGAGATAGGTGCTCGTATTTTAGACAAGTAATTCCCAAGTGTGGTTCAAGGATCTCCTTTGGTGCATGACACCGTACCAACAGCCCTCTTACTCATATTCTCAAATGCAAGAGCAGGGTTGTGGTGCTTCAGCAAAATGCTTCATTCTTATTTGGGAATTACACAAAACAGAAAAGAGAGTAAGAACGAATGCATCTCCGCAACAGCGACACAACCGCTAGGACAGACGACTGCCCTGCTGTGCTGGGAAGTAAATGGGACAGCTAGCTTCAAGTCACCACATGATATCAGTGGGACTCTCTTTGACCTAGGTGGGTTTGTGTGCATTTTCCAGGAGCTTGCCTTACACTTATCTTTCCCTGCACAGTTACCCTTCTGGATACCTTGGCATGCAGTTTTCCCTTCACAACCTGCTAAGCAGGCTTCTCTCTACTTTGTGCGATCAATGAAGACACACATACATACGCACCACCACATTATAGAAACAGAAGAAACACAATGCATCTCATTCTTTTCCAGTCCTACCCTGCCAGAGGCTGAAGGCAGGCTACTCACACTTGACATTAAAAATGGAATGTTTGCTAGCTGTTGTAAGCATTAATGGTCCCGCAGCTAATTTATACAGTGCTGTGCAACTTCAAAGTCTGCTTTCTTGAACAGCAGCAGAGTTTCTCTAGACTTGCGCTTGTGTGATAAAAGAACAGTTACTCTATAGCGTCTGGAAAGTGCCAGCATGACAAAGCATTCATACTGAAAACAAACAAAAAGTTCCAGCGATTTTCTAGGTCATGAGTCTCTAGATTTTGTTGTTGAAAGAGAGATGCAAAGAGGTATTACAAAGCTGTGATGAAACTTATAGGATAATCCATTTGGCCTTTATGCAAATTTTCACAACCCCCTGAGGTGACCAATTACATATATATAGCCTATAGATCATGTAGTCTGCAAAGCATGGGAGTCCATGTACGTGTTTTTGCCATGAACACTCTTCATAGTTGTAGTAACACTACAGTCCCATCTTGTGACATTACAAATCCTCTTGTGATCCATCACAAGGCAAGGAGATGAAGTCACTGAGAATCAAAACAAAAAAGAGTTTTGAAAGGAATTCTGAATTTTGACAACTCATCCACAGAAGTTCCAGCAATCTGGCCTAAGGAAACCAGGGAAAACAACTTGAACTCGAGCCAGCATTCAAAATTTGCTATCTGCTTTAAATCTTTGGCTCAGGCTTTGGGGACTGAACCTGAACAACCAGCATCAAGATAGGCTAGAATGCTCTAAAGGCAGCTCTGCAATGCAATGTGGAAAAAAAGCCCTGCAGTACTATATGCTTCCAAACACGTACGCTAGTCAGTCTCTGACCTACTTACCTGAGAAGCCTGTCAGCAGGGCTACTAAACAAGAAAAACTACTTCAGACCTGCTGCCAGATACCCTAGTGACTTGCAAGGTCCAGTCTCCCAGTCCGTCTTTGCAATATATTTTCATCATCTGTAGAAATGCCTTCTTATTTCATAATTATGATTTTTCACTATAGTGACATTAACACATTTTCGGAAGTAGCATGGCCTGCAATATTCACATGAGGTACTGAAGGCTATGTAACATACATAAAAGCAGCTTGGTATAGGTGCAGCTCCAATAGGATTGGGGAAGTCAGCATCCAGGAAAAAACAGAGAGCGCCTAGACATGCATTTTGGAATCCAACTTGAAATCCTAGCAATCCAGTACTACAATCAACTATACGTATTCCTTGCAGGGACTAGCCCTGAGCTTAAAGCTAGATTTTGATTAGATCAAGGCCTTACAAAATCCTACTGCTCAGTTACAGTTCCTCAAAGACAGCTATGCCTTGGACACGTGTTTGTTAAGGTTGTGGTGGTAATATAGTCATACCACACAACGTATACCACAACTAGAGCAGTAAGAAAGGAGGAACAGGTATTATTTTTACTCTTTGGCAGACTTTTAATGAAAATTGCCACTAAATCATGTGTGACCTTTGTGTAAGAGGGTGGATAAAAATACTTAAAATGCTGATTAATCAAAAGGAAGACTTCAGCCCCTCCCAGGGATCCTCAATAAACCTGAACATAAGCTGTGCCCCCACATACAAAAGGAGAACTTGGTCTCATTTCTGAAGGCATTTTAAATTCAGAAAAGCATCTACAAGCAATCTTTTTATTCAGTAGAATGCTACAGGCACTAGGGCCAACTGTTTGGGGTTTTTCCTAAAAAACAAATACTGCAATTAAAGAATTCCAAATATCGTAATTAAAGAACTCCACTACATATCTTTAAAGAACTGGCTTCTTATCACATTTTGGCCCACTCCATCACCTCTAGTAAGCTCTACATTTCACAGCTCTAACTGATGCGATGGAGCTCTGCACAGGCACAGCAGTCTGCTCTGCGCTTTCAACTCAGGGCAAGCGCCAGCGCATTTCATAACCGAACTACCAAGCATTGCCTAGACAGCAGACATGACTAAGATATACTTTATCAAATATACTTTCCAAAGCAAATCAGGATCGTACATGTCTCTGTTTCTCCGGGCTTCCTCCTGCTCTTTGTGATGTCGCCTCCTCTGCCTGGCAGACACATTAGAAGAGGCTGAAGATGTTCCCGATTCAGAGTCCTCTGAACTCTGGCCGCCCGAGCCATGAACATCAAAGAGATGCTGCTCCACGGCTGAGCGGATTGTCTTCTCTAAATACCTGTCAAGCCGAAAAATAAGGTCAATTGACACTTGCTGGAGCTCCCTCACTGCAACATTAAATAACGTGTGTGTTCTGGAAGGCTTTGTTTTATCAGGATGGCAAAGCAGTATAAAGCGTGCTAGGGACCACAGGCATCTGCAAAGAGCTAAGCCAGTATCTTCAGACACTGTAAAGTTCAGGTCCTTCAGAAGAGCTGAGCTTTCCCAGATCACCCTATCCTTGCTCATTTCTGGGGCTGCTTGAACCTTCTGTAAACTGGCTACTTTTATTTACATCTGCAACTACAAACGTAAGTGCCTAATTTTCACCCTCCACTTCAACAACCCTAACAAAACCCTATTTGAAATACAGTTCTAAAGACTCCAGCTATTGGAAACTGAGCCATGTGCTCCCACCTTTTGTTAAAGGTCACTGGTTGGGGATGACGGAGGGCGTAAGGAAAATACTGTTAGGAAATGACACTTCCAAGAGGAAGACTACAACTCAAAGGGCAACAACATGTGGGCAACTTAACCATGCTCACATTAGTCAGGTCCCTTGTGCAATCCAAACTCAAGAAGGCAATGGATCATCTGCAAGAAGGTGATTCACTGCTGTCTCACGGGGATGAGAAAAGGCAACAGCACTTTGTTATAAACTCTTCATACACTTAACTCAGTGACCAGACACGGATCTGGTTCTGACCTCATGCTGCTTTCATGCTGTTCCTGCCCCATTAATGCACACACGGCCACTCCTGACTGACTTTGCTGTGAGATCGCTATCGTGCCCACTGGTGATAAGGGGGCTTCCACACCAGCCACAGCAAGGGAGCCTCTGCAGTTACATCAGTTAAAGCTGTGAGACCACTTGAACTTTCAACCTGACTCTCCTACATTTTGCTACTGACATTTTTGTGCAGTATTTCCTTCCTTCCTTCCTTTCTTGAGTCAGAGGAAGATTCTTTTTATGGGTAAAATCTAAAATAGACTTTTTTCTTTTTTTTTCTTTTACTAAAAGATTGTTTGGAAACAAATTTTTACCCATCCCTGCCCCATCCCTGTTTCTTGCATGCCTTTAGAAGTCTGCAGTTCTCTAGAACGAGTTTTTCAAACATACCTGACTGACACAGTATCCATTGCTTTTTTCTTAATAAGACCCAGCACTTCCCCAAAAGTTATGTGCAGGATTTGCTGATTCATTTTCAACTGACTAGCTATGAGTATGTGAATCTGTATCCTGGGCTGAAGCCTCCAGAGAATTTGCACAAGCTGTTCCTAAGTATGGACTATAGTGGTAGTCTGCTGAGACTGCAGTTCCTGAAAAAGTCAAAGATCTTAGCAACTGCATAAAAACACATGGTTTAACTTGGCAAATGTGTCTCTGTTTCCTATATTGACAGGAATCGGTTTGGCAAATCCACCAACCATTTGGAACTTCTAATTCAGGCAGGGGAGCCAACCTGTTAGCTCTGCTGCTCATGTCGGCACAGCAATTACCGCAATGGGATCAGGACCCGTCCATTCCTGGGACAGGAGCAGAAACAAACATGAGTGAGAGGACTGCGCGGTAAGAATGAGCTTCTCTAAATATGCAAGTTCCCTCTAACCGAAATAACACAGGCACAGTGTGGGAAAACCGAGGAACCTTCAGACCTGAGAATTTTTCAGGAAGAAGTGATTTATTATCATTGCAGATGCTTTGATTTCGGAAACAATGTCTTTTTTGTTTGTGTAAGAACAGCCCTTGAAGAGAAATCAAAGAATAACCAGTAATACTCTAAAAAGCTCCAATATAATGTGTAAAAGAAAAACAGGAGAAAGTTAGATCTAACTATCACAATAATGTCTTCAAACACTTGTTCTCTGCAGCACTAAGAAAGGATTTGAAGGGCTGAGCTGTCTCAACAGCAATTGCATGTGCACGCCACAAGCTTTTCCCCTTAAGGAATTTTTACACCTACAGTGACAGGGCACATTTGGACAATGCCAATATCCTCAAGAATTAATTTGTCTGTCATTCCCTTGCAATAGGCCAAGGTCTAACAGAAAGTATTTCAGCTTGAGCACGCTGCAGATTTTTTGCTTCCTTCTGAGCTTTCTGCAGATGCCGGTTGCTTTAGCCTCATCACAAAAGCTCTTGTCTTCTGAGGCTGCTTTGAAAATGTACACACTGTGAAAGGGGACTTAATATTTAGGAACCTTTAAATATTCATTGGGAAAAAAAGGCAAAACAATTTCACTGTTCTCCTCCTGCAGCTCTCTAATATCCATGTTCTTTGCTTCAGAGCTTAAAGAATAAGCATACATGCTCTCTTCTTTCCCCTCTCAGTTTGTTTTTGGGCTCAGGAAGAGCTAACGTAATTCTAGGTGTCATTGCTTGCTATTTAAAGACCTTTTGAATAAGCTGACGTGCCATCTTGCACAGCTGTCAACTGCTTTCCTCCCTCTGCACAGGGCCAGATTCAGTTTGGCCAAGCCAAATCCCATCCTGCTCCCTTTTCCCCCATGTTAACTCAGCTTTGCAGAGAAGGGAACACGTGATACTCTACACATATTCATCACCCTTACGATCTTCATTAAGTCCAAAAAGTTAGAGGCTTACAAGTTTCATTTGGATGTATCCCTGTATCAGCAGATGAACTAGTCATATAACTGGCTTGTATATTCCACTAAAATGACACTGGGTAGACAGGTTATGAGACAGGCTGAATGCAAAATGTGAGCTCTACCAAAGTAGCCATTAATTCTTTCATTCTCTAAGAATTTCTCACAAATTGCTTCAAGGTAGAAGGTCCAACAAGAGCATCCCTTAACTAACTAAACATTTCTTCTCTGCTTCTGTTGAATATTTCACTTGCCAAACACTTTACCAAATAGATCTAATGCTAGTTAAGAAACTGCAACACTAACGCTAACCACTCTGTGGCTCCATTGTTTTTAAATGTATCTTGTGGTGGAAGGTAGGCAAATGAAGGTTGAGAAGGGTAAATGAAGGGCCACTACAGCCAGTTTGACAAAAACCACAAAACAGCCTAACTCCTTTTTCAGGTCTGCCTGTAGTAAAGTACAAACCCACAGATGCCCAATTGCAGATCAGTCTCTCATACGCTTCTGGTTACTTCAGTGAGCCAGTACACCCATCTTGGTTTGGATAAACCAGTGCACCCTAACCACAGGTTCATCCCTTCCAGTCCTTCCTTACTTCACTCCACACTGATCTGTAGCCCAGACACAGTTCCCTAGTTGTGGACAGCATGAAAGCAGTCACATATTTGCCAGCATATTCCATGTTACCTATGCAACATTCAAGTAGCTGTGTCATTCAGATGAATTCATGAATAGAAGACATACAAACAACTATAAAATTACTGTGCTTATTATTACGGACATGCAACCTACATATAGAAAATAAAAACTGCAAGATCCTTCTCTTCGTATGCAAATCTTGGTTATTAGCCATCACATGGCTTTGCTATTCCAAGTACACATTTCAAGCATCCTACTTGCATTCCAGTTCACTTATATAAACTATACCTGGCCTCCTCCAATCCCCAAACTATTTTTCTACATCTGGCCTCCCATTGGAGATGGGTTAGCAAATAAGATAACAGTGTGGTACACTAAACCACGCTACATGATGCAATTCATCCGATTGCTACTGCTCCCATATGTGTAGCCATAAGTTAATATTGTATCAACCTTCTGTAATATTTACATGCAACTGATACTGAAAGGGGCCATTTTTCATATCACACCTTTTTTCTCAATCTATTTGCATGTCAGGAAAGTGACAGCAGAAGGAGAGATGGGATTGTTTAGATTTTATTTATTTAAAACATTACTAGGATGCAGGCGTATACGCCCATCAGATGAGAGAGAAAATGTCAAGAAAAAGCTCTTCCCTTTATTTCCGACAAAATACTGCACAAAAAAAGGAAACTCTAGTTTCTCATAAAAAAACTAATGAAAGGCTATAAACTGCGTGTGAGTGAGAGTTCATGCTGTTAACCCCATGCGGGGTGTTCAGGGGCAACAGTCACTACCTACAAACCACACATTTGTATCATTACTGAAAACACACAGCAATTTCTTTTAAGCAAAAAGTAGTAAAAAGAGGAAATAAAAGATGAAGCTGCAAAAAGTAACTAAATAAAATGCCAACTATTTTCATAAGGCCCAAATACCTTCCGTAGATGTCTAATTCTCAGTTAACTATGTGCTTTTCTAACACCGATTCTGTTTTAACTCATTAACCTTGCTAACTTATAATGTCACGTATCATTTTAACAAATACTTTGTGGAATCTATAAAAGCCCTACTCAAACAATACAGATTTTGTCAGAGAGCTAATAATATGGTGATTTTGAAACTGCCAATAAATAGGAAGGATGTGTGCACACAGCTACATGCCAGCTGAATGGATGACAACAAAAGCTTTAACACGGCCTTTTTCTCTTGTAGATACTGCTTCCTTATATAGTGAACATGACCATATAAAACAAATAGTATTTACTTTATTCTTAGTCCTGTGGTATTTTAATGCTCTTTATTGGCCTCATCTCTCAATAATATGGGGGTTTTGAAGCAGAGACACTGAATTTCTTTTAATTCCATCATAACTGGCTTTTCACACTATTTGATTTTGAAGCTTAATTAAAATGTACTGCTAAAGTAGTTTATTTACTCTGCATCAACCTTTTGTAAATTCAGAAAGTTCACTGAAAAAAAACCCAAAACACTCCTGGTGGAGGGGAGAGACTTACACAATAGCTTTAGAAGTCCAGCCTGCCAGGGGATGGAGCAGGAGGTGTTTGAGTGTATTAGCAAACTCGGGGAAAGGCACAGCTCTGTCAAGATTTCACAGCCTAGAACAGGAACCAGACATAGGCAATGCTTTCTGAGTGGATTTCCAGATTTCTTGGTTGGCAAAAGTCACTCCATCATCAGAGTCATACTTCCCAAAGCATGCAATGGCAAACAGGGCCCAGAAAAGCCCTCGCTGTCATGCCCTCTTGTGCAGTGAGCCGCCTCAGAATGGTGCCTTTGTTTATTAAATCATCTGCCCAATGAACGTTCACGTTCTGCTGTGGTTAATTATTTTCTCCTCCTGGGCGCTTGATTCACTGATATGTACTGTCGATTATCTCCACAGCTGGATTATTTTTATTAAATTATGCAGCTGCTGCAGAACACACTGAGAAATAGCCACTTTCTAATATAAATTAAAGGTTCTCCTTCTTCTGCCTACAACAGGCAGCAGCAGTAAAGTTTTCCAGTGCTGGGGACTTACACTTGCAGAGAGCAAGCCACAAAATGTGGATCAATGCACACAGCTGTTTTCAGTGCTACAGACTTCTAAACTGGTTCTTATGACCCTCATGCATTTCTTTTTGGGAAGTTTGATCTCTAGCACTTCCCAGTGTT